GCACAAACAAAAGCACAGGAGGTTGCCTCTGAACACCAGGCAGCACTGCTGTGCTGTGCAGTGTTGGAGCACTGGCACAGGCTCGGAGGCCTTCAGCAGCCACCTGGACTTGGGCCTGGGCACCCTGCTCTGGGTGCCCCTGCTGAGCTGGGGCTGGGGCAGACCAACTTAGAGGTCGCATCCAAGCTCAAACATTCTCTGATTCTGTGATGTGATGTTGAATCAATATACTTGAAAAATATTTATTCAGAAATTGGTCATTTTTTCAAATGAAAGTTGAAACAAAATTGTAATTTTATGAGACAGACAAAGGCTGCCTATCCATGGACCACAGAGTACACAGTCCTGCAGAAAAGACGTGGCTATGGAGAAGTTAGATGACCCCAGGAAGAGCTGCTGTTGCCTTTTGTTGTTCTCAGCTGCAGCATTCAGTGTTAGGTCATTCTGTGGTGTACTCCACAATCTTGTACACAAACACTGGGACTGGTCTGGTGTGCACAGGTGTTCACGTGCACGATACACCCTGTAAGCAATGGTAACCAATGTAAGAATGGTAGAACGCTGATGTGTCAGGTTCCTGCCCTGCTATGCAGAGTGCAAAGTCATTCTTAGCCTACCTTTCCTCCCTTTCATTGCTGTAGTTGCAAAAGCAGCTTCCTTAAAACTAGTAAAACAGATTTACACACTACAGCTGCAAGGACGACTTAGTTAAATCATATCAAGACATCTACAATAACTTTGATATAACACTTTTTAAATGATTCTGTACTCAATGAGATAATTCAGAATCTTCAGTGTAACTTCTGTAGTTAATGTGTGTAGCTTAGAAATAAAAATAAATCATATACATATCTCCTGGAATTCAATATACTTTCTCAGGAGTGATGGGTTGCTTGGTCTTTTCTAGCCCTGTTCCCTTCTGATTGTTTGAGCTAATAGTACAAGTGCTTGTGCTTGTCATAGTGAAGAGTTGTGACACTGAATCCGTGAATTCAGATGGGAGACCCAATCCCAGAGTCTGTTACTTCTTGACAGTATTCTACATGTTTAAAGGGAAGGATAACTTTGCGAGTTATTTCAGCTGAAAAATACTTGTTTCATGCTGAAGCATCACAAGGAACCTTGGGGAGATGTGGCTAGTAGAGAGGAGGCAAGTGCAGGAGAGCTAATTATGATACAACAAATGAAAATTTGAAACAACTCTCAACTGAGTAGTGCTCAAAGATGTGCTTTATGAGTGTTTTGTGCAGTAGTGTTCCCACTCTATATTTAGCTTAGTTTTAAAAGAGACCAAATAGACTCTTGGGCTAACCAAGAGATTATCAAAACACAGTTTTCAGATAACTCAACTACTGTTTAATTGTGTAGGTTTGTACATTTTCTTATCCTTTATATCATAGAATCATAGAATATCCTGAGTTGGAAGGGACCTGCAAGGATCATCAAGTCCAGCTCCACATAGGATCATTCTAAAACCAGAATATGTCTGACAGCATTGTCCAGATGCTTGTTGAACTCCAGCAAACTCAGTGCTATGACCACTGCTCTGGGGAGGCTGCCATTTTAAAATCAGTCATTTCAAAAATTCTTTCTATCCAGTTGCAGAAATGCCTGCCAAAAAAAAAAAAAAGAAAAAGAAACAAACAAACAAACAAAAAAAACAAACAAGAGAAGAAATGTGTATTAGAGCACACATTTAAAATATCTTTTATCCTTTTTTAGTGGCAAAGCAATACTTTTGGTCATATTCATCTGTTAGATCTCCTTATGCCTAATGTGAATACAAAGAGAACTTGTTACATGCTTCTCATTTACTGGTTTATTTTTCATTCTCTGGAATCCCAGTGAGCTCCAGCTAAGCTCCACAAAATGCTGCCTTGAAAGAGAAGGTTAGGAAAATTTAGAACAAAATCCACCAAATAATCCGTAGTCTACAAACTTGAAATGAAGTAGAATCAATAGTAAAATCATCAAAAAAAAGCTCTCTACTGAGGTTTCGTGAAACTACATCTGTCAGCTGCAGACAAAGCCTTAATTTGGTGAGAGATGATGATGGCATGCCTGTCTGAGAATCAGTCTGTACCACAGAAAGCACCAGGATTTCTGTCAGGCTGATCCTCATAGAATTTTATTGCTATGAAAAAAAAAAAAAAGCCAAACAGATGAATCCTAGTTACCAGCATCATGGAATGGCTTTGAACAATAGTAATCAAGTCCAGCTTTTTACTGCAGTTTTATGTTTTTAAAAGAATGAGGCATATGGGAGATATTACTTTAGCCAATGTTGAGACAAGTGCTAGAATTTCTGTGCAAAATGGTTACAGGGATACTTTTATTCAACTTGTACCCTTTTTAAAAGATTTGTGTTTATTTTGAGATTTAAAATTCTTACAGCCTTTTTTCTACACGTGCAATCTGCAGAAAATATATGAGAGAATGTGCTTTCCATAATCATGTGGAATGTTATCCAAATGAAGCCACTTCATAGACGTCTTGAACTGCAAGGATTACATTAGTCTTGACCATGTGCAAACTTAGTGATCAGAAGGAAGCCAAGCAGCAGGAGATCGAAGTGCAGGTAGACTTTTTCAGTTGGATGGGTTAAGCCTTGGGAAGATCATTACCAGAGCATCTCACAAAACTGGGAACCAGGCAGTGAGAGGATGAGATTCCACAAACTGTGCGTAATAATGCATTAGGAGCTTCAAGGATGAGTAAAGGCTCAAGAAAGGCAAAATCCATCTTTGTACAAAATGTGCTATAGGCTAGGCTCAGTAAAAGGACATGAGTGATTTCCAGAGCAAAGAACAAAACCTCTGTCCAGCTCAGGAGAGAATCTGATGCTTCCTCACATTTGTAAGGAACTTCCATGCAATCACAGAATCCTGATGATCTAAAGCTGAAAGGAGGCCAATCAAGCAGGTACCAAGCTCAGTGTGTGCAATACGCAACTCTAAGGAAAATACAGATGATGGGAATGGAGTGCAACAGCAGATACCTCATAAGCTATATTTAGATGTCTCTAGAGACTTGGGATTCCCCATCTGGGATCTCCTGTGGAACCTACATTTTTCATTCAAAGAGCTGAGCAGCAGTTATAATCCATCTTTACAGAAAAGCTAGAAGACACACCCCAACTTCATACTGATTAAAGTTTTCGATTCAGCACTCAGCAGACCTGTTTTCCTTTCTTTGGTTTTTGCCCTGTGTTAGAAGGCTCTGTGCTCCCATGTTTGTCAGGAGTCACACTGAGAAGCTGCATGGGACAAGAGCAGTTTATGTCTCTTGCTGAAAGTGGGCCACTGTCCTGTGAACAACACAGCTGAGCCTGCCTGCACCTGATGCTGAGGCACACTGGGGACAGATAATCCCTTTCAGAGCTATTTTTATGTATTATCTATAGAATGAAGTCAGATTACATCCTGTTTCCAGGGGAATAGGTACAGTAAGATGCCTTCTTGAATTTTCCACAGATGATCCTAGATCATCTGCATCCAGAGTGAATGCATTTGCTTTTCTGAATGTTAAAGAGAGGGGAAAAAAAAAAAAAAAAAAAAAGTCTTAAAGAAAGAGCATTTTTTCCTTCCTTGGTTGCATTAAATATTGTCTATCACTGTGCTTTGCAAGGTGACTGACTCACCTGCTGTACTACCAGAGTACTATAAGGGGAATTGCTTTTTTAGCCTGTTCCTGGAAAAGGCATATTTCTGTATTTTCAAAGCTTATTTCCATCCAGGTTTTGCACTGAAACTATATGTGCTGAATTTCATTTCTAGAAAATAGAAAGCCTAAGTATTCAGAAATGCTTAATTAAGTAGTGTGTAATGCTAGTGATGTAGGCAACAATGTAAGACAAAAGGCAGAGAATGTACTTAGGAAGAGAATCTATATTTAAATCCTTTTTCTTTTTCACAGCCACTTAGAAATTAAATTTTGAGTATTAATTCTCTAGCTGATTGTAAAGGAAGTGTTTGTGCAAGTGTGAAATAAATTACAAGGTAAATTGTAGGGTAAAGTATGCATATTTCTTTTCAGACAGAAAAATTTCCAGAAGGTATCTCCATTCTTCAGAAGTTTTTGATACTATATCTTGAAATAGAAAGGTTAATGACAAGAGTATATGAAGAAAAAAAGAGACTTTAGTGCTTCCATTTAAAAAGCTCATGGTATCCGTTTCATTTGGAAGTGCTCTGCTCTGCAGGTACATGGACAGCCTGAACAGTTCACTTCCAACCTCACTGCAGCCCAGGAGGTAGTGCAGAAGTGGCTCTTTCTTTGGAAGAGAAATATCTGTCATCTGCTCTCTAATCATATCCAGTGCACACTGGTGTTTCACAAAATACATCTGCAGCTCTGTTGGTTTCATGTTGGAGAGAGGGATGCTCAAGTGGCAGCATGGTCTATCACAGCAACTTTCTGGAAGAAACAGAAGAGCCAGGGGATGAAAGGGGCAGGGTTATGCTTCTGAGTAATGTGCTGTAACCTATAATGACTACTTAATACATCTTCCCTTGCCTCTGTGCCTCATACAGCAAGATACCCAAGACTCGTAGAAGGCAGGAGTCAGAACAAGCATGGTTTCATAGCCTTATGGATACATATGCATACCTATGATCTGCATTTGTCTTTGTTTAAATCTTATAATAACCATGGGTAGCATAATGCTTACATGAAAACAGCAATATGCTTACTAAAAACAGAAGGCTGTTAGAGGGTGTCATGAGATTGCAATAGCAAGCTGTCAGCATGGCTTGCTGAGCTCAGATATTTATCAATGAGTATATGAATGAATGAACAATACGTGACTGATGTTTGACATCTCATCAATAATGCTCCATACAAGAGAACTTATGCAGTGACTTCAGATGTGTGCAGTAGATATTATGGCATAATAATACAGAAGCTTATTCCTTAGAGTCCAATTTGGCCTACTCTGAAGTTTCTTCTTATTTTCTTACTACTTCAAAATTTTCAGTAAATTAATATACTTCTCTTTTCAGTGTTCTGTTTCCTGTGGGAAAGGTTTGAAGCATCGTGATGTGCATTGTTTTAATAGCTTCCAGGCTAAAATAGAGGATGAAAACTGCAGACATTTAAAAAAACCACGGACATACAAAATCTGTAGAGCCGGAAGATGTCCTGCCTGGAAAGCCAGCGGATGGAAAGAAGTATGTAAAATTGCCATAATTTTGTTCTTCTCTTCTATAATGGTACTTGGCAAGATCATATTCATAACATAGTTGCTTCAGTGAAAGGGAGTGTCAGCAAGATTAAATCTAGAAATTAAAAGTTCATTGTTTTTCCTTTCTGTCTTTCTTTCTGTCTTTTACAATTTACAGGAAATAGATCAGCAATAGTATGAAATGCTCCAAACAGATTTTGGTTATGTGATTCATTTGGTTATGTGATTCATTTTAGTTTCACTCTCCTGTATTAAGCCATCAGTGAAAAATTTCAGAATCACAATAGAAATTCCTGCTTCAGAAAAACAAACAAACAAACAAACAAAAAAACCCCAACCAAATAAAAAAAAAGAACTGATAAATAACTGGTACTAGCAGATACACAGAGAGTTTGAACTGCTGGCTGTCAAGAGAAAGAGGTGCAATAAAGATCAGGCTGCTCCCCAAAATGGGCTACAAGCAGAGATTTTACAAAGGGGAAGAATTTTCTCCAGAGTTAACTCATAAAACATGGTTTTATGTTTATGGTTAAATAGGTATTTTATTCTCTTTTTGAGAAACTGAACTAATTCACATGTCCTGATGAAACTGATGCATCTAAGTTTAAGCACCAGAGAAACTGCTAGGCTTTAACACTCCAACTGAAAACCAAGAATAAAAAACCCATTAACTTGAAGAATTGGGTCTGTGCTAATAACCCAAGCATTAAAGACCATACCCCGAGTACCTCCCCTATGAGGACAGGCTGAGAGAGCTGCGGCTCTTCAGCTTGGAGAAGTGAAGGCACTGGGGGGATCTTATAGAGGCCTTCCAGAACCTGAAGGGGGTACTTCAGGAAAGCTGGGAAGTGGCTTTTTATAAGGGCAGGTAGTGACAGAAGGAGGAGAAAAGGTTTTAAACTGGAAAAGGGTAGATTGAGACTAGGTGTTAGAAAGATATTATTTATTGTGAGGGTGGTGAGGTTGTCCAGAGAAGTTGTCCAGACCCTCTCTCTAGAAGCACTCAAGGCCAGGCTGGATGGGACTCTGAGCAACCTGTTCTAGTGAAAGGTGTCCCTGCCTACAGCAAGGAGGTTGGAACTAGGTGATCTTAGAGGTCCCTTCCAACTCCCAACATCAAACCATTCTATGAGTCTACCTGAGTGGCGAGTGTAAAAGTAGTATTACAGAAAGAGATACGCTCTGGTGTTATCTAGCCTTAATGATTCCATGATTCTCTGAATCATTAAAAAGACCCAGACTGACCTTTTAGAAGATAATATGGAGCCTTTAGTTATTGCAGGTTGTAAGCTCAGTTCCAAAATAGTGGTGATAAAAGGCAGGGTGCTATTTATTACTGATCTCAATTTGGCCACATTTCATTGGCCACTCCTTCCAGAAGGAGTCCAGCAGAGGGCCACAAAGAGGATAAAAGGCCTGGAGCAGCCTGGGCAAAAGAAGACTGAGGGGAGATCTGATTAATGTTTGTAAATATCTAAAGGAAAGTGGGAGGCAAATGGATGAGAGCAGGCTCTTCTCAGTGATGCGTAGTGATAGGACAAGGACCATGGCCTAAAACTTGAACTCAGGATGTTCCACACAAACGTGGAAGAACTTCTTTATGGTGATGGAGCACAGGAACAGGCTGCCCAGACAGGTTGTGGAGTCTCCTTCCATAGAGACACACAAGATCCATCTGGATGCCTACTTGTGTGGCCTATTGTTGGGAACTTACTTTAGCAGGCTGTTGGACTTGAAGATTTCTTGAGATCCTTTCTAACGCCTGCAATTCTGTTATTTTGTGATTTGATAGATTGGTTTCTCCTTCATGATTATGTTGAGTCATTGGGTGGCTTCTGGGGTCTTGTTGTGCTTCTGACTGGGGTAAAATGGAATGTTTATTACAGCATATCCTGGCATTGTAATAAGCTAGCTTTGATGAAGAAGAAGGAAAAGAGATGCAGGGTAGGTAGGATTTGAATCCTTTAAGTTCATCTTGATTTGAAATACTTAGTGCTACTTCAAAAGGCTGCACCATTTGCAAGATATTTCTGAGGTTCTTTCTTTTCTATTTTAATGTTTGCATTTTAAAAAAACAGGCAAGATTGTCATTCTTTAGTTTAATAATGGAATGAGGTAAGTTCTAAACTTTCAGTTGTTTGATCTCGCAAAATCTTTAACTCCTCGTTTGCATGTGAATACACTGATTTTATTCCTACACTATGAAGTAAGATAAGGAGACAGAGCAATCTAGGCAAGGTGGATGCATTTTTTTTTTCCATATATCTTACAGGATATATCTGATATCTTTTATTTTAATTGGAATGTACATTTTCACAATAAATTTATTCAGATAATACAGCAGAGTCAGTGAAGTGCAAGAATGCTGAATAATGGAGATGTACCCCATTCTGTTGACCGTTTCATTTCACAATTACACGATCATTTTTAGTGTTCTGTATCCTGTGGTGTGGGGATTCAGCAGAGGGACATCTACTGTCAGGTGAAGGGCCTGGGTGAAGTGAGTGAAGCAATGTGCAACCACGATGCACGGCCCGCTGACCACAGGCCCTGTTGGCTGCCTGCCTGCACGCGGTACCATTGGCTGGCAGATGGATGGGAGAATGTAAGTAACACTTTCAATTTCAACCTATATTTGATGCAAAGAGTTTTCTTATTTTTTTTCACTTTTGGATACCTTCCTAGTAGCCATTACATTGCAGAATAGCAGTTGAATGTTCTTTTACCAGAAAAATATATTTTTGGTTTGTGAGAGTGGATTTTCCTTTCCTATCAAATACTTCCATATTCCAGCTGGGTATTCACTGCTCTCCACAACAAATACACCATGCTCCACTACATCATCTCACTACTTCATAACTTCTTCCACATTTTTATTGCTGTTTGCTTGAAATTCCTGTGCTCAATTCCTTTCTCATCAGATTCATATATAACCCCGCATATCTTGCATTAATACTAGTTCTTCAAGTACTTATCCATCTGTGTTCCCCTCCTGTATTCCCCCCTTGAGTACTATGTACTCAAATTTGGAATATTTTGCCCAACTGTCTCTGCTCTGAGGGCTCATGTGTCATTTCCTTACTCCACTGGTCACAGTATATCAGAAAAGTTTCCAGATCTATATGTACAAAGCTCACAGCTGGGAAGCTTGCTGTTATCAATAACCAACATTCTCATATCAAATAAGCATTTTCATACTAAAAATAAGAATCCTTACCGAAATAATATATAAAGTGCTCTTCTGCCTGTTCTCATTGCCTAATGATTGGATTATCCCTAGTATGCCTAATATTCTGGGCTGTTCCATGCCTTTAAAAGATGAGGTATTCCTGTAGCTACACCAGCCAACTGGATTCACACTCCATCCCCTGACACAAGTCCATACACGTGCACCTTCTGAATGGAGTTTTTAAAGGCTTTTTTAAAGGCTTAATGGACATATGCACCGCTGCTGAAGTACATTTGCTTGTAGATCTTCTGATCTTCTGATTGGGCTCTTGTTTACATCCCTGATTCTCTCTGACTTTCTGCCATACTGTTTGTGGCCTCACCATTTCACGAAAGTAGGGAATCAATCAGGTTGCAAGATTAGGGGGTTGCAAGACTTGGGTGTTAGCACCTTACTTCTGCCTAATGCAATAGAATTTTTGTCATGTTTTATTTCTCAAAAAGCCCTGCCAATTAAAGGAGTGAGGAGAGGCTGTTCCCTGGTGTACTAACACTGTTGCTTTTCCATGTCAGTAACATATCACTGATTGTTTTACCCTTCAATTCTTGTTCACATGGAGAGAATAGAAGGATAAGGAAAGCTTTCCATCATAAACATTGTTTACTTGGCTCTCTGCTTGTTCAGAGCTTTTTCATCAGGTGAGGTTTGTAAGCCCACATGTACGTTTTGCAGCTTCTTTCAACAGCGTACTTACCTCAGTGAAATTTGCAAAGCTGTCCCTTGGGCCTCGATGCTTTCTCATCAAGAGGACACCAATGTGGGGAGAGCACTTTGTAGCCGGAAGGCAGGTTGACATCAGGGTGGCCCAGACAAGATGGAAGAACAGAATGACAACAGCTTTATGAATTTCAACAAAACAAACGTGGAACATAGTCTGGGGAATGAAGACCCCCTAAGGAGGAGCAGCCCAGAGCCTGGTGACAGCTGCCAGTAGGCCAGTTGTGTTCCTGGAGCAGTGATGGTCAGCAGCCTCCTGGGCTGTATCAACAGGGATACTGCCAGGAGACCAAACAAAGTGATCATCTCCTGTTTCTCAGCACTTGTTAGATCTTGTCTAGCTTCTCTACTCAGTTCTGGTGGCCCAGTGTAAGACACTGAGAAATGGGAGCACATTCAGCAAAAATCCTGCAGGCTGATGGGGGCTGAGCACCTGCTGCTGAGCAGAGGCTGAAGGGACCAGGTGGTAGTTCGTGGGAAATGTGGCAGGAGCCTTCTAATATCTGCAAAGAAGTTGCCAAGATGAAACCAGGCTTCACAGTGCTATGGGGTACATAGATGCAACAGGAGGAAGGTGAAGCCAGAGGTTCACTGGACGTTGTGAAGAACGTTTTCTCAGTTAAGACAAATGAAGTAGTGGAATGGACCACCTAAAGAAGATCTTGTAGTCTCCTCAAGGTTTTCAAGGAAATTTGATAATGTTGGAGGTTATATCTAGCAGAGCTGCTCTGCCTTACAGCTTTTCTGTACTTCAGGTTGCCACTTTGACTCAGTAATATTAGAATTTGAACAATAGCTTTGACCTATATATCAAACCTTGGCAAGTCTCCTAATTGATTGTGACTTGGTCCAAATTTCTGCTAAATTATGTTCAGGTCTCTGACTAGAATCAACAGGCAGTAAGTAAGCAGTGGTATTGGTTATTGCATCTGCTGAAACTGGAGTTTGTGTATTTGAGCCTGCCTTTTTCATCACAACAGGTTTGTTTCAGCGTCCAGAGCAGTTTTGTTTTCTTTTGCTCTATCAGTGTAATATTGTGTACATGCTTCTAGGGATTCCTTATGTTTTGTTTTCAAGACCAAGCTATTCGTTTCATATTTCACTGAAATCCTATTTTGACTTTTCATACAGAAGAGCTTTTTCACTTACCCTATCATTTAGCCTGACATATTTATTTTCTGCTCCATTTCACCCACCAGCTACGGTGTCATGTCATGAAGTGCTATTGTGTTTTTTTTTCAACTGATTGGAAGTGTCTGAACACTAAAAACAAAGGGATTTTGATTCAGTACATAATTCAGTCCAACAATGATAACAGATTTCATATAGGTTGTTGCTGTGTGGGCCTTAATGATGTGTGACAATTGGCAAATAGCCTTACTCTGTAAATAACTTGTTTAGGTACACAAACTGTGATTGTTTTTCTCGTGCTCAGTGCTCAACGTCATATAGAAGAAAGGAAATACACCAGAAGGTTAAGTGTGTGGATGAAAACCAGATCCAAGTGGATGAAAGCTTCTGCAATCCTGCCACGAAACCTCCATCCATCAAAAACTGCAGGAGAGCTCCCTCCAAATATGTTGTGCTCACAGGAGAACTGTCACAGGTAAACTAATGATTTTGCTTACATCTCTGTTGTGTAACTTTACACTGAATGGTATCATACTGTTGTAAAATGTTCAGAGAGAGAAAAACAAACAAACAAACAAACATATTTTCATCTGAATTAGAGTGCCCCTTACCACAGGGCTCCTCTGCTGACTCTCAGGGAAATGTCCTTATGGGACAATCTCACTGAAGCAAACAGAAATCTTTTCCTTGATTTAAATGAAATGTGGGCTCAATCTCTTGTTTTCCTTGCACTACTGACATGTGTATGTGTTTGTGCACATTGCAGCTGAAAGGGAACTGCTCTGTGAGCTCTGACAAGAGCTGCATACAATGTGTCCTATCTCCTTGCGTGTGCTATTGCAGCAGACCTCAACTTCTGCACGCTGTTTAACCAATACGGCATGCATCAGGTTATATGATTTTGCCAGAATAAGGGTTGGAAATGACTTATCTGTGTTTGCAATGCTGTGAGAAGGTTCAGCTCCACAGGAATAACATCAATACTTGGGATTCTGTTCTAGTGTTCAGCCAGCTGCGGGTTGGATTACCAACAGAGGATCACATACTGTGTTGGAATCCATTCTGTTCAAAACAAGCACGCCTATGGCCTTCGAAGTGTGGCGTATCGTAAATGCCCAGTGACACCCTCCCCATACATTTATTACTGTAATATCAAAGGATGCTCACAAGCAGCTACCTGGAGAGTGGGGAAGTGGACCAAGGTGAGTACAGATGTGCAAGCTGATTTTTGCTACCTGCTTCAAGAACAAATGGCTGCCGAGGCATTCACTGAAATACTTCTGTCAATTATTAACTGCCTTCTAAACTAACTGCTGATTGCTCTCCTTGTCTAGTGCTCAGTGTCTTGTGGAGCAGGGGTAAAGGAGAGAACAGTGGAGTGTATGACTGAAAATGGCTTATCCAGTGACTTGTGCCTGCCACATTTAAAACCAGATACCAGGAGGATCTGCCATGCAGAGGAATGTAAGTGACAGCTGTACTTGTTAGATGAACTTCATGTTTTCCGAGCCGATTTATACAAAAACAATGAACATATTTAGAGCATAATTATGGGAAACTAAGTACTAAAAATGCATTCTATCTATGAAATATTAATATGATTTAATCATTCATTTTGAAGGTGAAATTATTACCACCTGCAAAGATATCCAGATCAGAAAAGGGATGAGAAAAGACGGTGAATACCTACTCAACATTAAAGGAAGGATGATAAAAGTATGCTTAATATTTGAGTTTTTATGAACACAATTTTATTAAGTAATACTTTTCTCATAAAGATTTTGCTAAAGGTCTATATTTGCTCTTGCAGATCTATTGTTCAGACATGCACTTAGACAATCCCAAAGAATATTTGACGTTGGTAAAAGGAGAAGCAGACAATTTCTCTGAAGTGTATGGACTCAGGTAAGAAGAAAAAAAAAAAAAAAAAGTGGTTTTGTAAATTCATTAAGTGCATTTATTTCTTCCAAAATAAATCAGTAAAATGATACTTACCTGTGGTAAGAACAGATTAATATAATTTATTTTCCTCAATTTTCTGTTTTGAATATCTAGACTTACAAACACACTTGCAGAAATGAGGATATTTCCAAGCTGGACTTGAGATAGTTGCAATAAATGATCATGTTTTGTTTTTTTTTTCTATCTTGACTTCAGAAATGGCTTCAATCCACACTGATATTTCAGTTGAGCTGAGCTAATTGCTGAATTTCACGTTCAGTAATTGTTTAATATTCTGTAGGTGGCATAATGCAATACAATTATTTTTCACTACAGTATTCTGTTACGGAAAAATGTCAAATGGAAAACTAAATCTTTGCTATTCTCTAGGTTACAGAATCCATATGAATGTCCTTTCAATGGAAGCAGGAGGCAAGACTGTGCCTGTCGAAATGATTACCTTGCAGCTGGCTTCACGGTTTTTAGTAAAATAAGATTTGATGTCGCCTCCATGCAAATTAAAAGTAAGCATTTTGGCAGTTTTAGCCAGTGTGAGCCTTCTGTTGATATTGTGCACGGCTGTGATTAGAGAATTATCGCTTCAATTCACTGTGGATCTAGTAATGCCATTCCTGACAAACAAAATTTGTGTTTTCTTTATGACTTCAGTGGAAATATCAAAGAAGAAAAAAAACACACACAAGAAACAGAGAAACAATTCCTATGTGTGTCTGTCCCAAGTAGTCAAATGACCTGAATTTTGCATTTGCTTATTTGATTTACATATGAATTAGATTCAGTTTCAAATATTTTGTTTCCGTTATTCCATTTCCTCTAATTCATTGGCATATTTTTCTTGAGAAGGTTGAGAACAATGCCATGTCGTACACTGTCCCTTTCAGACTAAAGGGACTGGAAATCTTGCAACACTTTCAAGCCCCTGCCTGAAGATGGCAAACTGGGCCACAGCCAGCTCATGTGGAGCTACGTCCAGCTGCATATCCTCCTATCTTCTCTGTGTCTCAAAGAGCAAACTGGGCTTGTAGATTTGATTCTTGTGGCAAAAGCTGGAATGGACAATATAAAACATAGTTTATTAAAAAAAAAAAAAAATTGTCTTTTTCACACTGTTTTCACCTGAGATTCTAATATTCGAATGCAGTACTTTCAGTGTTGAGTAATTTTCTGTTTTCTAGCCACAGATTTTCTTTTTGCTCAGACTATACTTGGGAGAGCAGTTCCGTTTGCTACAGCTGGAGATTGCTACAGTGCTGCCAGATGTCCTCAGGTATTTATGATTTCTCTCCCCTTGAAAAAAGAAAAAAAGTTTTACTGATTTAGTGCTGCAAGGTTCTAAATTTCTGAAATTCGTTCTGCCTGGTGTGTGTGTGACATTAATAAGTGCTTTTTCTTACTCCTTCCTCTGTTCCATCATCTGCTTTTTTCTGTTTCTACCACAAACTGTATGCCTTTGAGAACTACCAGAGGAAATCAACCTTGTTTAGCTGCTGAATTCAATGTCAGTGTTTTAGTTTGGAATGGCTGAGGCTTCTTAAGTGAATGTCTTTGTGTCCCAGCTTTCTGTTTGTTGGTTCATGCCATGGAGCAGTGTTGGGACGCATGAACTGCATGCCCTCTGGATGAAACTGAATCAAATGATGAGTTCCAGAAGGGCCGTATGTGCTCCAACTGCTGATGAGAACTCAGTCTATGGGACTAGATGAGAGTTAGTCCAGTGTAAAATCTGATTTGTCTACTGTATATGGAGATGAGGTTCTTGACTTTTTCACTTCACAGTTTTGCTCATACTGCAGTCTACTCCTTGCTAATGCAGTTATAGCCCTGGCATAATCTAGTCAACCAATGCTGTCTTTGGAGTCTATTGGAAGAAATGGGATTCCCTAGAAAATGGTTCATAGACTCTTACCACATTAGAAACCTTAGGATATCCTAAGGTGTCTGATAATGACCTCAAGATCATCTCCTGGAAGTGCATATTTATTTTCACTCATTATAAAGGAAGATAAAACCAATAAGCTCAAAACTTGCATGGAAGCGAATATTTGTTGTCTATCTAACCTGGATGCCTAAGCTTAAGACAGGCTGTGTGGGAGGATGCATTCCAGGGCAGATAGAGACCTACAACTTAGGTACAAATGAAGTGCTTAAGTTAGGCAAACTTAACCTTTGGCAAGAAAACTGTTGGAGTTCTTTACAGTATTGAATACCTTCAACATTCAGACTCTGGGCTCAGTGCAGTACATATCTACTTGTGATCAGTAACTTTTGTCAGGAAGTCATTCCGCTGATGTGTTTTTGCACTGATGTATTTTCATTTGTGAGTTAACATTGAAACTAACCCCTGTGTCAAACCCCTGCAGACAAAAAGTGTCCATTCATTCATTCATTCATTTATTTTTACAAAACATAACCCTATGAACGTATTTACGTTGGGCCTGTTAACTGCGGGAAACATTCCACACCATTTGTATGAATTTCCTCCAGATGCTTGATTCATTCATGGAAATGTCCTTTTTCAGCCTTCAAAGAACTATCTACCCAAACGATACTTGCTTATGTTAGTGCATCCTGAGCGTAGGAGTGCTATCAACATATCAAATCTGTGTAGAAATGCACTTGAAACAAATCTGCCGTAACAAACAACGTAAGACTGAATTTTTAGAATGGAATTTCAATGACTTTCAAGAATAAAGACTGAATGGTGTATTTTTACACATATAAAACATATTAAACATACACAGATGTTTTGTATATGTATGTATACATATATATATATCACTGGCAATATTAAAAATAAAATATGAAGGCTGAAATACATAATGGAGATTTTATCTTTGCTAAACATTTGATATTGGGATTTAAGCAATTTTTATAGTCTGAAATCAGAAATTCAGGCCTTTGAGAATTGTATGCGGGTGGCTGGAAATTTTCAGATTAGAGTTCTGCCTAAACCAACACTTAGGCTCTTTGTGGAGGTAGCACTTAGTTTTCCACACATTGCTCTTCTGTGTAGATATAGTTTAATCATTTTCTATTCCCAGGTTTGTTTACTAGCTTTTAAATTGTTTTTCTTGTTCTCATATGAACCATCTGTGTTATGAAGATAGTTTTCAGAGTATTTATTTGCATAAGCAAAGACTTCAAAATCAATAAAATATTTTGAATTGTTTGTATGGCAAAGCATCCTATTTAGCAACAAATGTATTGTTTTATCCTCCATTTATGTTCATGTTCAGTTATGTTATTAAGTATACAGAGAAAGAAATGGGAGATGATATAATAATGATGCTTGGGCAGTTTGCATGCAAAGGTTTGAGACCTGGATGGCTAAGAAGTGATTTATCTCCAATTTCCAGACATCAGGACCTGACCGTGTTGTCTCCTAAAAGTTCAGGCACTTAGAAATGTCTTTCAAGAAAATCAGCCTCACTCTTGCATATTGCATGTACATAATTTTTGTAAATTTAATTTAAATATGTAGCAAGGAGAGTAAAATAATATGAATTAACTGATCATTGAATCATAGAATCATAGAACATCTTGGGTTGAAAAGGACCATAATGATCATCTAGTTTCAAACCCCCTACTAGTGCAGGGTCAAACCACCAGATTGGGCTGCCCAGAGCCACATCCAGCCTGGCCTTGAATACCTCCAGGGATGGGGCATCCACAACCTCCTTGGGCAACCTGTTCCAGTGCGTCACCACCCTCTGTGTGAAAAACTTCCTCCTAATATCTAACTTAAATTTCCCCTGTCTCAGTTTAAAACCATTCCCCCTTGATCACTGTCCACCCTTATAAACAGTCATACCCCCTCCTGTTTATATGCTGTCTTCCAAGAATTGGGAGGCTGCAATGAGGTCTCCCCAGAGCCTTCTCTTTTCCAAAGTAAACAAGCCCAGTTCCCTCAACCCTTCTTCATAGAAGAGGTGCTCCAGCCTAATCAACTGATGTCAGTTCTGCGCTCAGACTTTGCAAACAGGTGCTACTTACTACAGAATAACTGGTTCATGTGCTTTTGTGTCGCGAGAGTCAAAAGATAGGAAATAACGGGATGTAACTAATCCAGGAGAGCTATGCATCTTTGAGTACTTAATGTCCAGATATAACCTAAGCTATCTATATGAGTGTTTTAGTATTTTGAACTCTGTTTATCAGTTCTGTACTTTACCTTTTGTTTTTGTTTTGTTAGGGCCAGTTCAGCATTAATTTGGCTGGTACAGGTCTGAGATTATCCAGTACTGTTAGGTGGATGGCTCAGGGCAACTATGCAACCGCTGACATACACAAATCCCATGTAAGTCAATACTGTTTTATTTACCTGCTATTGTAAAATATTATGCCTCTGGATGTGCTGCTGATGACTCTTTAGTGCAAAGCTATTTATTAATAAAATACAGTGCTCAAGGCCACTGATCTATCTAAATGTTCTTACAAGTGCAGTATGAGGCCTGATAAACTAATCTTAAAGATATCACAACATGTTTAATCACACTTCTTGGAATCTAATACAGATTGCACTGCCTACCTAGCCTTCTCTTACTGGTTTTAAAAGCCTATTGTCACATTGATTGGGTTCATTGAAAATTTGGAGGTACCTAATATTGCCTTATACAAAATACCATTTTATTGAAGATACATACTGCAGGAGTTGCTTCCAACTTGTCTCATAGTGGAAACCAAAAGACCAACTGAAAAGGAGAAGTAAACAAGCAGAGTTAAGAAAAATACTGCATACCAAGTTAGATTGGAAGGTATACAACAATAATGATAAAGGATTTCTCTGCCTGTTCTGTTAATTAAATGCTATCATCTCTAGATTTAGTAATTGTAGGTTTGATCTGTAAAATGCCTATTGTGTGCAAACCTCAAGAAGCATTTCATACAACTGAGATTTCAGCAGCTTCTCTTGATTGACTGTTCTCTCTGTCTAATTTCTAGGATGGTACCAAAATATATGGAAGATGTGGAGGGTTTTGTGGGAAGTGTATTCCTAACACAATTACTGGTCTCCAGCTTCAAATAAAGTGAGAACTCTGATGTGGTAAGAACATCAAAGCAGAAACATCTGTCATTTAGGTGCAAATTGTAGGTGCTGTGTATATACATATTTTTTAATTCTTTCATCTCTGTAATACTCATTACTGTAATGCTCACTGCTGAGAATTCCTTCCTGTTTTCTTTGGTGTTTATTCAGGGAGGTACTGCCTGTTTATGGGCTAACAAGTGTGTAAATCACAACTTCAGGTTTTAATGGGGAGACCTCCGTTCTTTGTAAAGTAGAAACGTCAGCAAGTAAATTGCACTCATGTTGCTAACATGCATAACACCTTAAACTGTGCCATAACTGCATTCTTTACTTACAATTAGCCGGTGCAATTCTTTCTGCAATATTCAGTACTTTCTGCACTGATTTTCTTGATTGGCTCTACTAAAATTTGGGAAGGAAAGGAAATGATCGCTACACAGAGAAAACAGCTGGTAATGTCAAATACGTGCAACTTTGTGTATTCTGTTAAGAATGTCAGTAATTTTCAGCAGGAAAATACATAACCAGTGTTCTTTCTCCTGAGATAGTTTCTATAGATCTGTGTGTTTCTCTGTCAGTAAAAACATTTTTCCTTGTCCCTCTCATTAAATCCTTCGTGGTGCTCAAATACTAGCAGTAATGCTGAAAAGTGTGGTTTGACCTTTGTAGTCTCTCTAGCACATGCTAAACATTTAATGCATAGTATTTCTGTGGTTACAGGAAGAGAAAATAAGAAGTATTGCTTGGAGATCTGATTTTAATCCCTGCCTCTCAACCAAATATACTGTAAAAGCAGTTTATTTGTTGACCATATCACCTTCTGTGTGATTGTCTGAACATGCATTTACTTAAACCCTTTCCACTTACACCTTATTGCAGTGGTATATTAGTAATGACTAGTGTGTCTCCCTTTTATATTCCAATTCAATCAGTAACCTTAGTGAAAACTTTGGGCAGCATCATACTCACAGTGTGGCTAGTGTCTGTCTTTGACTCTGTTTGATTTCTGAATGGTTGTAAATGCAGCTCTAACATCTGCTAATTACAATTATTTCTTCCAGAAAAGTAACTGTGTGATAGAGGGGAAGGATTTGTTGTTTTGCATTACCTTACAGTCCAGAACTGTAGAAGTATGTGCTAACAAAGATAATATGTTTCAGGGGAAATACTCAGGTATTCCAAGCAGAATTTTCTCCATGTCTAGTATCTTATATGATGTAACGGATAACTATACATACTTCTGACAATGTGCATTCTGTAAACCAAATACTTGTTTTGTATGCTGGTAAAATTGGTAGATCAAATGGCAACTATATCAGATTTTTACCCACAAAGAGCTAACCATAAATTAGTAATATGTATTAATTAAAAACAATACTGTACCACATAAGTGTAAGCAGCTACATTTTAGATAACACACGTAGGTAATTATTTTTTTTATCTCTGCATCAGAAATGTATTTTTGCACTATGTGCCTTGTATTAATTGTAAAAGTTATTAAGAATTTAAAACATTATTTTCCTAGAAATGTTTATGTTTATAATTAAAGTCTTGTAATTTATAAAGTATTTATATAATAAATATGCTTGTGTGAATGGTACTTGTATACTTTTTTTTTAATCGAATCCTTAGCACAAAATGTTGCAAAACTATGTTGACTTGTTTGTGCACAGAATAATTATGATACTAATACCTCCTTGCCATGATAGATACAGGTACTGGAATAACTGCTGCACAAACAGATTATAGTCATGCAGACTTTTTCCCTGGAAGGAAATCCTACTTCAGAGGTGTAAACTCCACATCAGCATGCCCCTACTACAGTGATCATCTGTACCTTTCTTGAGGAGGTTGCTTGTAAATCATTCACTGAAATAATCTACTTCATTCTTCCTCCTCCCTCTGCTACACTCAGATCAATTCTTTCGTAGTCTGATCCCTCAATGGTTGCTTTGGCAGGAGGTAAGCTGCAATCTACCTCCATCTACAGGAGGATTGCTTTCTTTTCAACTCTGAAATAGTGATTACAGGCTGGGAATTGCTCACCTCTTCTGCTGCAAAATCACTGAAAAACCATTATCAAACAAAGTGTCTTTTCATGTCATTCAACACAGCATATTCTTATCAGGTAATTTTTTAATTTAAATAAATTTTCTATAATTAAAGCATACCCTCTGACTGAGTGCAACTTCTATATGAAACAACGTTGCATTTAAGATTTTTATTTTTTTTTTGAGGGGGGGTGGGAGCTTTTTTGGGGTCTTCAGCCCTAGTTTAGGGGGAATCTTGTGTTCTGACAATCAATGTGTTCTGACATTGTATGAATTCCTCATATTATGATTCTGGTTTATCTGAGAATCAGTGCTTAATCAATCCTTCCATTTAAACTGGTCAGTTTTCATCTTGAGGGGAATTTAAGGAAAACACGAGCTTCATGACTGACTTTGATGAATCTGGAAACTTGGTGATGCTGACGTGTTTATAGGTTCATGTAATAAAAGGTTTGTTATGGGCTATGCTTACAGTATCGTGCTTCCGTTTCTTCCAACTGTTGTGGCTGCAAATGTGCACAGCATCCCAACTGAGTGGGATCCTACCTGAACACTGGGTTCTGAGCAAGAGGCTGAAGGGTCCACCAAGTGGGTCTGTGCCTGCCAAGCTGCCACTGCTGGTCACAGGCAAGTGGCTCTCCAGATTTCCTGGAGGTTTAGGAGACACTGAATTGTCCCATCACTCATCCATAAGAAGAAAATGAACTAACTGAGGAATGACAATAGCTAGAGAGGATTGTAATATGTTCCCCTGGATATCCTCTATAACGTGTTCAATCTGATCAACGTTTGCAAGACATAACTTATATGCATATTAGCACATAGAGCACTTAGCTGACTGTTGTATGTTGAATGGACTAGGTATAAAAAACAATTTTTGCTCGCGGGGGGGTTGGAGCTACGTGATCCTTGAGGTCCCTTCCAACCCGGGTGATTCTGTGATTCTGTGATTCTGTGAAATGTCACTCTGTGTACACTGAAATGATGGCATACTGCCTAGGACCTGTTACATCTTATTATGACAGAATCTTTCTTCTGGTTGTGTTTTCCCTACAGTGATATCAGGAGCCAGAAACCCTAGCTTTTGTCCTTCACTCCAGTCTGCAGCATAGCTGAAATCATGCTGGAGCAGTCTGTCCTCGTGCCCTTTTGTGCCCCCTCCCTGCACAGAGGAACAGAATACACTCAGGTGTTTGATGTAGGACTGATGTAGGTTGTTGTACAAACAGCCCACCCAACATTGAGGGGAACAGCTGCTATTGATTTCAGCAAGTCTATTTGTCTATGAGGATTTTTGATGGCATCTGTATATTTTTCTGTAATATCCAAGAGGCATGTGAGATGATGAAAGAAGCTTTGTGGGTTTTTTTGTTTTTTTTTTTTAGTCCTTTAGCCTTGAATGTGGTTAGCATCTCAGATTTATTTACTATTTGAAATAAAAATTGCACATAACTTGGAGGGGTTTTACATCTTTGCATTTTCATTGATAGAAACACAAGAGATCCCTAAGAAATTCAGGCCCAGTGTAAAATATTGCTACCTTGCAAATGCTTTCAATGTTTTCCAGGATTTTAAATATGATTAGCAAATGTGTGAAGGGTGGTTGGTTTATGTTCTCATAAAGAAGCAAATAGATTCCTGAAATTTGATGTTCTGCAGCTGTCAAAACCACACTTGTATTGGAAGTGAAATGGAAATAAGCTATAATGTTTTAAACTTACATTATAAAAAAAACAGAGCAGAAAAATTGTATCCAAAAGTAGTTTTAAAGCAAGATCATTTATTTTTTTAATAGGAAATAATGATTAAAATGAGCATTCTATATATGCTTTGCAGTTGAGATTCTGTGTCAGCAATAAATGTATGTTGGCTTTATTTATTTACTTCCTTATAAATTGAACCAATTCCCAATTGCACTCTAAAGAATCCCTCTAAAGAACACCAGAACCCTTTAAAGAAATTAGTTTTCATGACACAGTGCACTTTCCTATTCTCCTGTGGATGTGGTGCTTGAGTCATGGAATGCCACAGGTTGGCATTAGATGCCTTTATGCTTATTGTACTATTGACTAATTGTAGTATTTGATTCACTTAACACACACAAATTAGGACTGAAGCCAGCTGGCAGAGCCAACAGGAGGCAATGTCCTCAAGGCTAAAGAGCAGCAGGCATGGGCAAGAAGTTGCAGCCCAAGGCCTGACTGCTGGTCTGGCTCCTGCTTTGCTCTCTGGCAGTAGCTGGTCATCACCTCCTCAGCCTTTTTCAAGACGACCTCGTTGTATTAAAGAAAATATAGAAGTGGGGGGAGGAAGAGAGGGATCTCATCAGCCTCCCTGTCTCTGCTGTGCGTTGGAAATAGGCTGAATAGATCACAGAAAAAGTTGCTTTTAAAGTGCGTTCCTGCTTCACCGTGCTGGCTTCCCTTCAGACAGGGCAGTTACTGTGATAAGAGCAGAGGAAAATTACCCTGTGCATTTTGTTCAAACAGAAGAACAAGCAATCTGTCTTGGAGCTGAATGTGACATTTAATCTTCTCATCCACAGAAGGTGGTTTTTCTTTTGCACAATTAAGTTTATTTTGCAATAGCAAAGCTTGAGAGGCTTTTCTGGTCTTTGTTTATCCTGGCCTTGGAGAAGCAATCTGTGCTCTGTTTCTGATAAATTTCTCCTCGTGTTCAGTTATGACAGATATTCCTTTGAATTGGCTGTATAAAAATACTGTAGCAGCAGAGCACAGCAAAGATCTAACTGTATTTATGTCTATATTCTGTCTTTAAACATGAACAGCTGTGCATACATTCATCTGTCTCATGTCTGACTGAGCTGCCATCCAGAACCTTTTCCTTTTTAATAAACAAATGTTTCCTTCTTTAATCTGTGTGTGTGTGTTTTCTCTCAGTTCCTCCAACAAAATTTTCTTGTCCGCATATGTTTTTCAAATCTTATTTGTATAATTAGACAAAGCATGCAGCATGGAGAACCCACTCTGCTCTCTCTCACAGCATCTGAAATAAAATAAGCTATTTCTGTCTTGCACACCATTCCTATTTTGTTTTGGAAAGCAAAATCTCACATTCATGAATACTGAAAGGCTCTTTTTGAAATCCCTGCTATATGGTCTTATTTTACAATCTGATTTACAGAAGCAAGGAACTTTCAGAAAGCTCATGCATTTTCTGTACGCAAAAGCCTGGAGTAATTCACAGCAGCAGCAGACACCCAGCCTTAGTGGGATCAAATCCTTTTTGCACGTCAGCTGTCTCTGGTGGTTTTTATTGATCTTGATAACGATGCCCACGGTCAGTTCATCATTCCCTGTGAGTTTTGTGATGTTCCTTTGGAAGCTGCAATAATTAACAATGTGGTGCAGAAAACATACTGACATTTGTGCTAGTGAAATCAGGGGGCAGCAAGTTTCTTTTCAGTGTTTTGTACTTAAAATGTCTTGCAGAAATGGCTTATAAAAATATTTATTTAACACCTCTCTAAAGCAAACAAAGTGCTGCTACTATTTGCATTCCTCGAAGGTCTGCCACTCAAACAAGGCCAAGCAAGCAGCCACCAGTAGCCCCTTTCATGCGGGTTTACACAGTATTTTTGTCCTTCAGTTTTCTGTCTCAAGTTTATTACTACTACAGCCAGAAAAGGAACACCATCTTCAGCTTGTCAGCCAAATCCCTGCTGGTAGCTTCTGAGAGGGTGGAAAAGAGGAAAAATGCATCATTTTTGCCTCAAAGAGAAAATACAGAAGTGGTTTGTTTGTTATAGAGCTAGCTCAAAAGTGCTACCAGAGTGTGCACAGCAAAAAGAGATTCTTTTACCTTAAGAGCCCCAACTTTTGTGCTAGGGTTAAAGTTTCGTTGCCATTCTTTCTTATATGCTTGAGTATATTTGGTACTCTGCGGCCAAATATTAATAGAGTGATCATCCTGATGGGTCTATGGAGGAGAGTGCTGAGAGGCTTACAAGAGGGAGCTTGTCTTTGGATTGGAAGTGCACCCTTCTGCAGTGAGTTTGCCTGGCCAGCTGTCGACAGCATTGCTTCATATGAAATTCAACATTCAGAATATTTTCGATGAAGCAAAGGAAGTGAACTCCAGAGCTCTGTTCTGAGCAGCAACGTACACCCCTGGCTAAGCAGAGACACGCAGAGGACTTTTTCTCTTAAGTGGAAACACGCTTCCAGCTATCTGAAAAGCTCACCTAGCCCATAATCACAGAAAAGCCCCTCTATTATCAGCACTATGTTGTTACTACCATAATAAATTAATTATAAGCTGTGAGAGTCATGAAAATTTCATTAAAATAAATCTATAGGCAATTCTGTGCTGTGCAGTGTCTTTTCTCTCTGCGTGTTTTGTTCTATATACCACAAACACTGTTTCATACCCTTTGGATGAACCTGACATTTCTAGCTGAAACAACTTTCTTTTGGGAAAATTAGTTCTTCAGAAGCTTTACTTCCTGAAAATGTGAGCTAGCCTGTTTTAGTGTTCCTGCCCTATGAACAGACATTGAAACAACCATGAAATGGCCTCAAGTT